ATATATTATATATTTTTTTTTTGTGGCGTGTAGAGGGAGCTGTGGATGCATTTCTAGCACATTCTGTCCATGTGGAATCAACACTGCTCTGTTGTCTTGTGGCAAGGCTTTGGAGATGGTCACGCTCACTCTTTCACCTGATAGTCCCCGTCGGTTATGAAACAACCTTTCATCTATTTACAAAAGACTCACGGAAGCACAAAAAAACCCATCACTGCATCTCCAAAACCTGCCTGGGAGAGCAAGACAGAGTTTTTGTGTGTTTTTGGATTGTGGGTACATTTTTTTGTGTCTCTCTGTATTGCGTTTGTATGTTTTTGGTATGGCAAAATGTGACTTGGGGACTCTTTTTGTGTGTGTGTGTGTGTGTGTGTGTGTGTGTGTGTGTGTGCGCACGCACGCGTGTGTGTGTGCGTGTGTGCGCCTGCGTGTGTGTGTGCGTGTGTGCGCCTGCGTGCCGCACCGGTCGTCTCAGTACATGGCTGTGTATTTGTTATGCCATAATCAAAGATTTTTGAAAAAGAGCTTATCTGCTGCTGCAGGGTGTTTGAATCTGAGATTGAGAAAAACATTTTCAGCGCGTACACACATTTACCTTGCATAACATCTCACTACACTCTTTAAATTACAAATTTGATGATGCTGGCTGTGTCTGCAACTATGCATATGTGGGTTTTTTTCCTTTTGCTAATGAGATCAGTGAAAAACACCTACACCCAATCACCGCTGGCAAAATAACCGATGGCGATTCTGTTGAATGCACCTGCTGATTTCACGACATGATGCCCGTGTGCGTGAGTGTGCATGGAATGAGTAGCACATCATCTCAAATCAAATCACTCTCGAAGCTGGAGGCTGATTTCCAGTCAGTTTCCATTTGTATGTGGCAGAGCTCAGCCGACATGAACACGCTTTGAAAGTGTGTCGTATTGCCAGAGTAGCAAGGTGGGAGGAGATAGAAATATTTTGGGGACACTCCTCGATCTTCTCATTTTATGGAGATGTCTACTTTGGATGACATCACATCATTACCGCACGTAATAAATGACACCATCTGCGTAAATCAAAAAATTTAAATCGAAATTGAGCTGCCATGTGAACATACTTATTCTTTGAAATGAGCCTGAAAAAAAAAACGAATCAAATTCAGTCTAATGAGTTCAATCCAAGAGCTATATTCATTTACGAACGTCTGTATTAAAAGTTTTTCTGATCGAGGAAATCTGGAAAGAATATTTGAAGACAAAGTTCCTTCTGCTGTTTATTATATTTGCAAAGTGGTCAGACAATTGGCGGGGAGGGGATTTTTACGCATTTGTCAACAGAATGGGTCATACATAATTCATGCAGCTGACGTTACCTTCTTTTATGTTTTGTTCTAGTTTGTCAACTTGTATGGCAGAGACCAGAGCCAGACAGATGATACTGGTTCGGCGCCCGAGCAAGACCAACAGCAGGACACCGTAGACCGGCTGGAGTTGCAGTTCTATGGAACGCAACTGGAACTGTACAACACCAAGTTTGAGATCCTGAAAAACGAGGAGCAGCTGCTGGTGACTCAGACCGACACCCTGCGGCGTCAGATCAAAGGTGTTCGTGCTGCACATGAGTAACAGACACATTTTTAGGTCAAACGATGAAGGCAAGAACGCATATTTGAATGGCCATAATAGTACCAGATGCTCCAGTGACATAACTGCCAGACCCTTCAACCCAATTTCAACACACACAAACTTCTGTTAAAAAAAAATAAAATAAAAGAAAAGTTAGTTATTAGTGACACGGTCACTTGACTTAATTTCTTTTGCGTTGTTGCGAACACAAAGTGTATAAGCATTTTTGCTCCCCTGAAAGCCAAAATGGTTCATCTGCTTGATGAGTTTTACAATTATCACATTTGTTATAAAACACACCCAGCAAAAATACAATACCTGGAAAAAAAGTCCGTATAGCATTCACGTTTTTGCCAATCATGATACATTATTGTATGAAACAGCACTGAAATAACATTTTATTCAAATGGAAAAAGATGTCAACTGAATACATTGTAGCAGGCAGTGTACATTTACTCTTCCAGCTCACTCAACACACGGCTGTTGATATGTGAATCATTGACAACAAAAGCGAGTACACCCCCCTCTAAATGAAAATGTCCAAATTGGGCCCAATTAGCCATAATGGTGACTACACAAAATACTGTCACTTCGAGCAGGCAGTATGATCATTTTCATGAAGATGTGTACAGACCTTTGTTGCCAGTGGTTTCAACATTAATGGCTGTGTGTTGAGTTGGGGAGTAAAAAAAACAAACAAACAAAACAACAATCTACAGTTGTACAAGCTGTATGCTGGCTCGTTAGTTATTGCAAAGTGCCTTTTTTTTCAGTGTTGTCCCAACCAAGATGCAATGAAATACTTTGAATAATGTGAGGGCGTCAAAATGTGAGCTACTGTCATTTAGTACGACCAAAGTAGGAATGGAGGATAAGTTCTGGTGCTGTATCCTCATTAATAGTGTCAATATTAAGGTGCAAATTATTCCATAAAAGTGGGTTGGATAGATGATAGATTTGAAAATGAGATTAAGGCTGCCTTGCTTCTACTGAAGCCCCCGTCACACTGAGCTGCGAACAAGTGTGAGTGTTTTCAAAGGTAGCAAATATTGGGTCCTTTCAAGTGTTGTCAGGGTTGGGGCAAGGTCGCCAACGGTCACCAGACGTTTGCCTGTACTTTTCGTGTCGCAAAATTTCCGCCGAACGTCTGCCGACCGTCTGGCGAACCCTGACACAAGAATGCACATTTTGCTACCTTTGCCAACAGTCTGAAACGGGGCTGAAAGCAACCTCAAGCCACTACATCACGTGTTGATTCTAGTGAACTAAGGTTGTGATTGAAATTACTGACCGGACCTGGAATGTGTTTTAGAACTGAAGGAGGAGGTGGTCTATTACGATGTCTGCGAAGATCCAGAGGAGCTCCACAGCATGGTTGACACAGGACTTCATCACACAGAGCCTCCAGCCATCCGTCAGCTCAAAAAACGTCTGCAGAACCTGGAAACCAAGAGAGGCAACATCTGTGCTCGGCGAGCATACCTGCGCAACAAAAAGGTGCCGCGAGTGAATAGCTTTTACTTTTTAAAATGACCATTGGGCATGAAAGGGCATTTTGTTTTTTCACGATATAAAGTGGTCATGTTTTTAGCACATATGTTTTATTCAGTGAAACTTTTTTTTTTGTAACCGATAAACAGTTATTTGTTGTACTCATTGGGTTTTTTTGGGGGTGGGGGGCGGCTCTGTCTGTTACATCCTAAAATTCCATAAGATGGCACCGAAGCCCTTGCCAATAGAAAAGCAGCAATAGGTGCCGAGGACATTGGTGCTTAACTGTCATCTGAACAAGACTCCCAATTTTCTATAGTTTCTAACCTGCAACTCACTTTGTAGAAAAAAAAAAGGAATTGTTTATATTTCATGGTCGCACAATGGTTGACTGGTTAGCACGTCGGCTTCACAGTGGAGAGGTACCTGCGTGGGTTTTCGCCGGGTACTGCGCTTTCCTCTGGCATCCCCCCTGGCAATATATAAAAGTTTATATGGCCCAGCAGATCAGGATTTTTTTTTTTTTTTTTTAAGACCGTTTCCGATATTTGGCAGAATCAAATTCTGATAACTGATTAATTAGTCGATTAATTAAAACCTATACAATGATACGTTATTTTTTGATTTCTTAATGCTTTCAACAATAGTGCTATGAATTACAACAGAGAGAAAAATCTGCCAAAATGGACCCCTTTTTTGGTATCTTTTTGTTTTGTTTTGTTTTCTTTTTGGTAGGGGGGTGATGTCGTCATAATCTTTATCTGCTGTGGTAATGTTAAAATAATAACTTATCGCGTTTAAAAGAAAAAAATCAGCAAATGTTTGTAGATTTTAAAAGAGCTTAAGTTGTTTGATTAAATTAGCCGGCTGAATAATGGATCTGGCAATCATAAATTCAGTACCTCCTGTAATTTCTTTTCCTACCTGTCTGTGGCCCACCGAGCTACGTGGCCAAAAACGACTAAATCAGAACAATCGCAAAAAATAAAAATACAGTTGATGACTTCCGGCTACACATCAGGTGATTGAACCTCGCACTTGTAAAACAACCTCACAAAGGAAAAAACACGACCCGCAGTGTTCTGAACAGCGTTTTGAGGCCGTTCGCGAAAACCGCATGTCGACTTGATTCAAACTGTTCAAACCAACGGCGATGAAACAAGACTTCCAACAACCGCACCTAAAGACTTTTTTTCATGATGCGTGTGTTTTATGTAGGACCAGTGTGTGGAGGCCCATGAGCAGAAGCAGCTCACAGCCAAGCACAGATCCAGAGTTTTCGCCCAGCATCATCAGGTCCACTTGGTATGTCGCCATGGCAACAAGACAGTCAGAGAGATGCTCCCATGTCGGCAGAGGCTCCTAATGAGCCGCAATCGAATTCTGTCCGTCTCCCCGCAGTGTCGCCTTTAACTTCTCTCTCTCTCTCTCTCTCTCTCTCTCTCTCTTTTGCTGTTGTTTGTAGAAACGAGAGAAGAGGAAGGAGGAGGAGCAGAGGAGGAAGCAGTGGGTGGACCAGGAGCGAGAGAAGACTCTCAACAGATTAAGATCCTTCAAAGAGGTGAAACCTGCTCTTCTTTTGTCCCTTCAGTAAACTGCAAGGCTTCCTCTTGAAGGTTATCCCTTATTTCATGTTCTGGATGCAAGCATCAGGGAGAGACCCGCCTTTCAGTTGTTTATCATTATCAATTCAAAAAGTGTATTAATAGTTCTGATGTGAATGGCCTCACTTCCACAAACATTTGCACAAAAACTCGATACTGTATGCGACCCGACATCACAAAATGAGTCATAGTGACCCATGTTTCAGAAATTAGGTTTTGGCATAATCAAAAAAAAGAGAGAGATCAACCATTGCACTGTGCTACTACTACTAACCTTATGATTACTCATGATGTCATTACCACAGATATGAATGGGTAGATACAACACGCCCCCTTTGAGCTATCTTAGTTCATAATGTCGGAGAGAGGAAGAAATTATCAAAATTGAATCGTCAGCTTCATTGTTATTTTTCAGTTTTACTTGACATTTCTCACTGTGCTCATTCTTGTGGTACAGCAGTCCCTTGACAAGAGTTGAATTTGGTTGATGCCCATAACTCAAAAACATGTTGCTTGCTGGTGGATGCCAAATTAAATTCATCCGTTCCTGCAATTAGTAGCTAAGTCAAAAATGCACAATCAGTTGTGACACTTTCCGTCTTCAACATCTGTCTCTTTGTCCTTCTCCTCATCTCCCCAAAGAAGCGACCGGGTCAGTATGTGCTGAAGTCCCGGAGGTCCCCCACAGAGTCGTCTTGTCCCTCCCAGCCACTTTCCATCATCAGCCTCGGCCCGCCTTCCTCCTCTGATGGGCTTCCCTCCATCCGCCCGGCACCGAGGCGCAAAACACTTCCGGTGAAAGCGCAGCCTCGAGATGTTTCAGTCCAAATCTACCCTTCACCACCACCACCTCTATCTGGAAAAACCTCGACTGTACCCTCTACACCCCCACCACCACCGCCACTCCCTCCTCCTCTTCGTCCACCACCACCGCCACCATCATCATTCAGCACTTCCCGTGAGGACAAACCAATGCCGCTCAGTGACCGAGAAGAACCTCCTTTTCCAGCCAAGAACACACTCACACAAAATATCGGTGAGGCTTCAATGTTGATTTTGTATCTCGAAAATATGACATCATTTTCATCTTGAAAACAGGAGGTATTTCACCACCACCACCAAAACGCAGCCTTCCAGCTTCTTCTTGTCTTTCCTGTTGTGGAGGATGAAGGTTGTCAACAAAAGGCTGATCTGCGTTGTTGCTATAGGACCCATGGATGAAGTGTTAGCCTCGCTGCAGCGTGGACAGATCCGGCTTCGAAAGGCCCCCGCGCCCGGGATACCTCCCCCCTCCGGAGACCAGAGAAGCAGCCTGATGTCTGCCATCCGACAAGGGGTCACCTTGAAGAAGGTCAGATGTTCTACGCTGGAGAAACCTCCAAGTCTTAATTAAAATACGGCTTGAAGCCGATGATGCCGCATTCCGGTTTACTGGGAAGTCTAAATAGAAATATCCCACATTGCAAAATGTCACACTCAAAGCAAAATGCATCCGAAAACCAGCGCGAGGAGGAAATGAAGCTGAGAGGGCTCGTACAGGTTTGCATTCACTTCAGAAAATTCTCTCAAATTTAACTGGCTGTCAACTTTTAGGTGGTTCCGGCTCCCTGCGACATGCTCGGCGGCAGGCAAGACAATGAGCTGGAGCGCCACATCAAAGCAGCCATGATGAGGATGAAGAAGGTGTCGGCCGACTCCGACGACGAAGACAAAGGAGACGAAGACGCGCACAGTGGAGACTGGGACAGTTGAGGACATCCTCACACATGCATTCATAAATCTACTCTTCCGACACTTTTGCTACTTAATCGAATTAAGTTACGGCCAAATTTTTGTGTGAAACTTTGATTCAGTCTTTTTTTTTCTGTCATCCTCTACTGGGTCATGAAACCCTTTCAGCAATGTGGCTAAACCATTTCAAATTCTCCTAGCCACAATTAAGTGTCATTAGCCACAATATCTCATCCATGTTTCGCTGTTGTCATGTGACAGGGGAGAGACACGGTCGCCCAGATAACACACAGCACATTAGGAAGATTGTTTTTTTTTTTTTTTTTTTTTTTTTTTTCTTCCCCTCGCCTCTTGATGACTCACCGCTGGTCGTAGTAACACGAAGGAAGTGGCAATTGTACCGAATTGCCACAGCTGAAAGGAGGGCGCTGAGCACATATTCCAAATTCAGGATGCATACAACTGCAATCATTGTGCATTGTGCGATTACGTTATGTAAATCACAGCTGAGTTTATTTGGGGGGAAATGTGTGAAGACGCCATCTCCTATTGATGACTCACCGCTGGTCGTAGTAACACGAAGGAAGTGGCAATTGTACCGAATTGCCACAGCTGAAAGGAGGGCGCTGAGCACATATTCCAAATTCAGGATGCATACAACTGCAATCATTGTGCATTGTGCGATTACGTTATGTAAATCACAGCTGAGTTTATTTGGGGGGAAATGTGTGAAGACGCCACATGAAATCTAATTAAAATGGTTTGGGTGGAAAACGCATGTCGGCATTTTTGGGCCAATGTCCCTGTGTGACCTTTGCTGACTTCCCCCTCGTGAATGTGTTTTTCATACACTTTACAGGAAAACATCCTCAAACCCCCCCCCCAATAATCTTTATTGACAAGCATGTTGGGACTATACTGCAATCAATTAATATGCCTTGCTGGCCGCGAGGAAAATTTGATTATTTGAATTTGTGCTTCTTAGTTAGGCCGTTTGACGCGGGTGTCATTGTGCCAAGTTTGACACGTAAATTGGCCCTTCATGTGGCCAATATGGGAAATATTGATCTTGCCACGCCCCATTTTAACGCATAGTGTGGCGCAGCCTGATCCATGTACTAGTACACGCTTGTCCTCAGTAGTTAAGTCAGTACACTGGTAGAATAAAACAAATATCTGCCAAGGTTTTTCCACTTCAGCATCAGGATGACATTTCGACACACTAGTAGGACAACTTTGGTAAGACAAGTACATGTTACTACTGAGGCAAAATTATACTCGTGGACATTTGCACACTACTTGTGAAGCAGTATATGTGGACTAGTAGAGTTATGTAGTGTCACTAGTCATACGAGTAGCAGGCAGTGCTCAACTATTGCACAGTTTTGCCTCACTAGTAACCTTTGGCCTACTAATACACAAGTAAACCTTACTCGTCAACTTCTGTGTTGCACCAGTAAGAATTTTAGTGGGTCAAGCACTATTAGCCTCCTGGAACCTACTGTACTATTAGCACCAAAATGCCCACGAATAGTTTTGCCCCAATCGTAACAGGAACTGTACTTCTCTGACTTGCATTGCAGAAATGGTGTACAGCAGTGGAAAAATCATCACTAGTGAGTAAGTCGTTCTAATAGTGTGCCGGGTCGCTAGTGAGGACAATTGGTACATGAGTGTTAAGCTAGATATTGAATAAATGTTTCCATCGAAAAGCTACGCATCTTTTGTACTGTATGGTTGGAAATCGAAAATGATTATGAAATGTCTGTCTAATGGAAGGAGTTTATTTAGCATTTTGAATATTTGTATTGACAAAAGGAGTGTTCGGGCCACACTGAAATTGAAAAAAAAAAATCACATTCCCGGAATTACACCATTAAATATATATTTTTTCAAATCAAAGTTATCATCTTCTCAGAATCAGTGAGCAATGCAGTTATTCCCAAGAAATAAAACTGGCAAAATTCAACCTGTTTTAGCGGAGCAATAATTTTAACGATACCAGGGATCATTATTGGGCCAATACCGGCCTTATGTCAAGGTATCGGGGTCTCCTGAAGGCTGCCGATACCAGCCTACGATACTCAAGGCAAAACAATCTGACATCAAATAAGTCATCCGACACTGCAGGTGTTTGGTAGGCCAGTGAATCATGTTCGTCTTGGCAAACAATTATGGTATTGTATTAAGTGAAATTTAAATACCAATGTAATACAGCCTCTGCCGCAGAGGTTGGAAACATGGAAACATTCACTCAAGGTTCTAAATTGCACAAAGGTGTTAATGGGCGAGTCATTGCTTGTTTATCCACAGAATGTGCCTTGTGATTGACTGGTGACCAGTCTGGGTTCCTCGGTGATGCTGAACAACAAATGCAGTCTAAAAGATGGATGGTTGGATTTTGTACTACGCCCCTTAAGGCTTCTTGTAATGTATTTTCTTAATTTTCAGTGTGGCCTTAATGCACAGCTCTTAGTGCCGTGACTATTTCTATTTTTCTTGCTGTTTTTGTTGCCGTTTGCTGTGATCAAGTATTAGGAATGTATTCAAACTTAGTTGACCTTGTCCGGGGCAAATTATTTTCGTCCTTGTTGTGTCACAGCTTTGTCTTGGACCCCCTGGCACTGAAACTTTTATTTAGTATACAACTTACTCAACCTTTATTGAGCCAAGGCACGTTTTACGTTCGAAAAATGTCACAGCACACTACCCAACAAAAACATCTCACATGAAGAATATGCAGTGTGAACTGTAGTAAATAAATTACTTTTGAAGTTTTAAGTGAACAGTCGATGATTTCTAACATGTTGGTTAAGAATGAATGAACTCTCTAAGATGTTGTGTTTTTGAAGGTTTTGTGTGTAGCAGCGTGCGCGTGTGCACGCGATTCAGCACTCGATGTCATGATGAATCTTGGGCAGAACTCTTCCCAACCCAAAAATGTGTCCTTGAATTGTTTGGAATGTGATGAGCTGCTGCTTTTTTTTTTGTTTTGTTTTGTTTCATGAAATGTTTTTGATGCCGCGATGATTGTAATGCAGTCACGAGGAGCTGGTTGGTTGAATAAATCTTAACATTGAACACTGATCTGATTGCGGAGTCACCTCGCCTATGCACCCTTAGCATTCTGTCAGTCTCACTTTCACAAAAGTTATTTTAAAAATAAAATAAAAAAAGCAATCACCTTCACCCGACGGTGGTGTGTGACCTCCATCATCGGGAGTTGGTAGCGGTCCGCAGTCTGGAATTGCATATCTTTTCTTATTATTCTCATTCAGTTTGTTTCATGTACAATTCACCGAGGGCACAGGTAAAGAAGGAATCTGGAGTGCTGGAGGAAGCATTTTAAAATGGTACACGTTAACACGCTGCTATAAGTGCGTCCCATGCCGTCAGGTCTCTACTCAGGGAGGGTCGATCGTGGGAGGTTGGTTGATCGAAAAGTGGATCTTTGGTTGAAAAATGTTGGGCACCCCTGCACTACAGAGACAAGATACTTAATGTTCAAACTGATAAACTATTGTTTTTAGCAAATATTCATGAAGTTAGAATGTTATGGCTACAACATGTTCCCCAAAAATCTGGGACAGAGTCATGTTTACCACTGTGTTCAATCACCTTTTTTTTTTTTTTTTTTTTTTTTTGCAACATTCAATCAATGTTTGAGAACTGAGAAGAGTCGTTGTTGAGGCTTTACAGGTGGAATTCTTTCCCATTCTTGCTTGATGTACAGCTTCAGCTGTTAAACAGTCCGGGTTCTCTTGTCACATTTTACGCTTCATAATGTGCCACAAATTTTCAGTGGGAGACAGGTCTGGACTGCAGGCAGGCCAGTCTAGCACCGGCACTCTTTTATTACGAAGCCACACTGTTGTAACGTGCATAAAGTGGTTTGGACATTGTCATAAAAGAAAAGGTGATGGAACACAGTGGTAAACATGACTCTGTCCCAGCTTTTTAGGGAACGTGTTGCAGCCATAAAATTCTAAGTTACGGATTTTTTTGCTAAAAACAATCACGTTTATCACTTTGAATTTTAAATATCTTACCTTGGTTTTGTATTCATTTACATATCGTTTGAAAGTGATTTGCAAATCATTTGTTTACCACAATGTCTCAACTTCACTGGAATTGGGTTTCTGCAACCGTATGCCATTTCTGCACACGAGTAGCACAATTTTGGCATTGTGCCTCACTAGTAACGTCTCTTTGCCCGACTAGTATATGGACATGGAATTGGTTAGGGAGTAAATGCTCAAGGGGCTTTCCATCCACATGTCTTGTGAACCTCTGAGTGTTGTTGTTGCCCACATGACGGCGATGAAGAACACAACGAAAAGTCACGTTTCTATGGGGTCATATCAGCAGTTAAATGCCTCTCTTGAACGTTGCTTGAGGCTCCACCTCCAAGAAGTGTCGAGGAGCTCATACCCAACAGAGTCATAAAAGTCAGCAGCCTGTTACTGTGGCAACAGGGAGTCTTGACAATAACTGTTTAACTGACACTTGTCCTCAGAGAAGTAGTGATGGGATTTTTGGCTCTTTTCGGTGATCCGGTTCATTTGGATCGGCTCATTGAAAAGAGCCGGCTCTTTATGGCTCTCAAACGGCTCTTTTAACTTTAGCTTTTCTTTTAAATATTTATGACAGATTTAGCATACATTTTGATAAATGACTTGGTGAACTAAATATTGCACTCTACTGACTGCAAATAGCAACAATTATCAAGCAAAGAAATGGCTTTTTACTTATTTTATTGAACATTAAAAAGGCTCCAAACAATAAACAAGCAACAAAATTAAACTTCAACCAACAACAATCAAACATGCTGCATCACAACAAAAATAGTGAGTATTAACTGCAACAGCATCAGTGAACAAAACAAACATGAGCTACTCCTTGCTTTATTTTAACAAACATAAGCTACTCCTTGCTTTATTTTAAATTTGCAGTCAACAAAACTAAATACTTCAACTTGGAATACTTCAATTTGTCCAGTCTTTGAGAACACCCTCTCTGACGGGACAGATGTTGCTGCAATGCACAATCTACTCTCCATTACTTTGATCAAACGGGGGCAGACGGAAGCTCGGTATTTCCACCAGCTCAGTGGATCAGCTGCCCTTGAAATCTGTGGTTCTTCAAGATATGCCCTAATTTAGTGTTTTGTGTTTTTGCACGCTTGGCTAATACTGTAAATTAGATTCAGGTTGCTTGCCAAACGCCTTTATGGTTTCCCAGACAGTAGGGGGCGATATGAACTAAAGACATCCAATTCACCAAGAAGAAGAAGAAGTACAAGCACAAGAATGGTACCACGTCCGGTTCAATGAGCAAGTTTTTACGCTGTCCACAAGCCCTGTTCTCAATGAGTAATTTTAACATTTTAAACTGACTTCGCAGTTTATCTCTGAGTGTATAGATGTAGACAATTAGGGAGAGTTATTACGACACGTTGCTCCTTTAATTTTGTTATTGTGACTCAACGTAGA